TGTCAAAGTCAGGAAAAATAAAAATGAAAATGTTTGTTCAGGATGCGAAGGCTGGTGTGTCCGAAGGAGTCGGAAGCAGAATCTCATGTAGGAACGAAGTGTCCAAGTGTCTTGAAAGGGGGTCTGCAGCGGTCTTGATCAGGTCTTTGGAGTAGGTGGTAGAAGCGGTCTTCAGCAGCTGCGATAGGTAGAAGTCCAAGAAGCGTAGTAGTAGTTCAAGTGTCAAAGTCCAAGTGCTAGGGTGCGTCCGGTACACGAACTGCAATGAGGTCTGATCTGGAAGCAAGGAAGTCGCAGACTGATGCAAAGATCCATGTCACAAGTTGGTGCTCCAGTTAGTCCGCGAGTCGGGATGCCGGCCAATGAAACAGCATGGTGGCCAAACCAGCTGCATAATCTCCATGAACAGTGAGCCAGCAGGCCATCGTCCTCATGCGCTTGCCATTAGATCCTTTATCGTCGGCGTTACGCAAGTTCACAAACATTGGACAAGAGAGACAAGGTAGTGGAGAGGACAGATGGGACAAGGCTAGGCGAGGGCAAGGCAGATCAGACATCAGGAATGAGGATCAAGGGAAGGGTGGACTGGGTTTAGGGGTGTGTGTAGAGTAGGGTTGCAAGGGTTTAGCGGGGGTTTTGCCATAGTGATATAGGTATCTAGGACGTAGGATTAACACGATCATAGGCGCGGACAAGTTTCATTGCGTTCTTAAGATTAGAGAGAGGTTCCCATGTAGATTCTTCGTCGGGGTTCATTTGACTTTGTATTCAGTGATTGGTTCTGGATGATGAGATACCTGAGTGGTTTGTCGACCGATGATGGTTTCGACAACTAATTCAGGGCCTGTGGGTAGCATGATTGGTGGAGGTCTAGGATATGGGCGGTCGGCGAACTGGAGCGGGGATTCATGGTATTCTTTTAGGTACTCGACATGGAAGACTGGGTGGACAGTGKTCAGGTRGAGGGAGGARTGGGAGTAGAAGGGCCGGGTCCCRTGGAGCGAGGGGYCTGTYGAGTAAAGTGGCTAGCGTTGGGGCAGTTGGTCTGTTGATGACCTAACTGGCGGCAACGAAAACACCCGTTGTGTTCCTGGAGGTATATGCGTTCTGCGGGTGCGAGTTTCTGGAGGCGGCGGGGTGGAGAGGAAGAAGGCGGTCGAGAGGCACGATCCTGGCGTTCCATCCGTATAAGGTGGGCGGTCTGGAGGTCCTCAATGGTGAATTGGGAGGGGTCGAGAGAGGCAGTGTCGAAGTCGTCATCGGAGGTGGGTTGAGTGGTGTCGTTATGGAAAAAGAGGGGGCGGGGGGGAGCGGGCGCGGACTGGTGATGGGGGTGGAGGAGTCGATCATGGTGAAGCACGCGAGAGAGGAGGTCAGCAAGGGGCATGTCGGGTTCGTGGGCGAGGGCAGTGGCAAGATCTTTGTGGCATACTCGCTTGATGCGGGAGATGAACGCAAAGTCGGGAATGACGGTGGTGGGGAGGTGATGGCGGAGGGAGCGGATGTATTGGACGAAGCGGTCTGTGGGACCGGTTTGGCGGAGGTGGCAAAATTGTTCGAGGTAGTCGTCAATGGTTTTCGGGGGGGGGAAGGTGGCAGCGAGAATTTTGGCCCATTGGAGGAAGGAGTGACGTGGTCCTCCAGAGGCTCGACGGTTGCTGACTTCAGCCATCCACCATTTGGCGGCATTGCCGAGGAGGCGGGAGGTGGCAATGGGGAGCCAGTGGGCAAGGGGCATGTGGTGGAGGTGAAAAGAGTTCTGGAGCTGGGTTAGGAAGAGGAAAACGTCCTCGTGGGGGAGGCCGGAGAAGGACATGATTTCGCCAGATCGGAAGGAACGGGGGATTTCCCCGTCGCGGTGAACGATCTGCGAGAGGGTGTTGAAGCTGAGGTTATCTGGGGTGGTGTCGTAGCAGGTGTGGTCGATTTGGTTGTTGTCCTCAAGGAGGTGGTTGGGGGGGAGTTGTGGCATTGCGGGGTAAACCCCCGAGGTGGCTTGGGAATAGGTGGGACGGATGGTGGGGATGGTGGAGGTGGTCATGATGGGTTGGGAGARGGTTTGGGAGTGCGGGGGGGGAAGAGGGGTGACTTTGATGGGCGAGGAATGAGGCGGTGTGCTGGATGCACCGGATGAGGGAGGAGGTGGAGGAAACGGAACGATGGTGGGGATTGAAGGGTTGGTGGATATGGCGGTAGAGGTGGTAGGAGTGGAGG